CAACGTCGTCCCGGAGGTGTGATCCACGGTCCATGATGATGTGGTGGGTACCAGAGGTTTGGTAAATGAGGAACCGTTCCTCCGAGAAAGTCTCTTCGTTTGTCAGGTCGTCACCTGGGTAGGGGCCATGTATCCTTAACAGGTGCTCTGCCCGTCTAGCCCAAGGGTCACCCAAGGGCACATCAATAATTCCCCATGCGCGGCTCACTCGCACCTCACGTATGGGGTCCTCGAGAGAAGCACATCCCAGAGGGATTTCCGTGATTACCTCTGTGCTGTAATCTAACGCCTCCAGGCTTCTGTCCTCGGGTGCCTCTACGTGCATGGCGTAATTCGGTATCCCTGGGGGTCGGTTGCCACTACCCGAGGGCACTGTGGTTCTGCTGGGACAGCTCTGGGAGATGTGCCCAGTTTGCTTGCACACAAAGCATCGGCCCTCTGAGGCAAGTCTATCATGCTCTTCCTTGCTCAATTTTTCAGGTTGTTCTTGTGGCGGTCAGTGATTGCCAGCCATCCTTCCTGGATTCCCAGGGGGTACCCTGTTTCCCCTTAGGTGGGTCCTATCCCTGCCCCGCGGTGCATTGGGGAAAGATCTCCCGGCGGTCGATGGGCCTGAGTACGCTTATCTGGGGTGATCCGTGTGTGGTGAGTAACAGATCAATTTATTGCTTCCTTTCTTCACGGGTTGTTGCCCATCATCACAACTGCGTGATTCGGTCATTGAGTTTGCTAACTCGATGATTTCAGCTGTTCATTGAACCCTTCTCAGGGACGTGACCTCCGGGTTGAGACGCATCTTATACAGCTCACTTTGGATGCTGGGGTTCAGCTCGAACCAAAATTTAACAACTTTTTCTCTTTTGGGTATGTTACCAATCATCATCCAGAGCTCGTTTAATTCAGACAAGTAGTCTTGTACTCTTTTGTCACCTTGGAAGCAGCGGTATAACTTCTTACACTGTTGGGTGCGATAATCCAGCGGGAAGCAGTAGTTAAATAACTCTGTAAAGAATTCCTTTAACCTCCACTCAGCTGGTCGGTCTGACACTTGCCTCGCATAGAAGTCATGCGCCTTTCCTTTCAGGAAGTGAGATAGGACGAAGACTTGGCGCTTGCGGGGGACATTCCCGTCTTCCACATAGGCAGTTCCTTCAGTGATGAAACAATGGAATGCGTGGGAGTTGACCGAGCCGTTGTATTCTGCAGGCGGGATTGGTTTCAAGGTGACCCCTCTCCTTTCCGAGACTTTTTTAGATTTATGCTTCTTTGAGCGGTTTCATTTTTTAGAGGATCGCTTCCTTCGCTTAGGGGGTTCATCATCTAAGTCCAATGACGAATTATCTGGTGAGTCGGACGACGAGGACGATCCTCCTGATGATGACGCCTGTGTTGATTCATCTCGGGAGTCTGAGTTCGACTCGGGCTCATCCTCTGACGAGTCGGGGTCCCTGTCAATGGTGGGTTTCGATCTTCTCAATTTGAACTGGTCGAACGTGCGGCCAAGGTAGCTCTTAGGGGCTATTTGGGCCATGGCGTCTAATGCTGCAGGGGATGCCCTCAGGCCTCGCCTCCTGGTCTCCTTGCCCACAGTCCTTTGTACTAATTCCTCTACAGGATTGCTGACGGCTGCCCTCATGCGGGGGAGCACTGCTTGGTTAGCCGTGGCCTTAGCCAGTAGTGAGTCCCTTCGTTGTATCTCCAAATTCAACTGTTCTATTTGCTTCTGAAAGGACTTAGCCATTCACTGTTCAGCCTTCTGGACCGCTCGTTCTGTCGGGTCGGCTTTCGATGGTTCATTTTCCCCTTCGGACACCTCTGCGTGGGCGCCATTATTCTTGCGAGACCACTCGCATGCATTGGCCCAGGCCTTCAATGCTTCCATCTGGGCCTTGACATCTACGTCTGAGTCATTGAGGTCGATACCTCCCCAGTTACGGGGATCTATTCCCTTACCCTTCGGCGGTCCTTTGCTCGTTGTAGGGTGGGGCTCGACTGATCTAGCCTGCTTCTCAGCGCGCCTCCTTTCTCAGATGCATCAGCGTTCTTCAGAGGTGAGGTTCTTCTCAGCCTCTTTAATCAGGTCTGTTCCTGGTAAATCCTTCTGCCGGGTTTCGACCCTGGCATTCCCAGGTTTGTTCTTACTGTCCATCCTGGACTTCTTGGACTTCTTATGGCAATGTTCAACCTCTTTCCAAGGTTCGTCACTTTCATCGCTCGTGGTATAAAAAGGGGAGCTGTTAATATTCACAGGAGTATTAAATATAGGGGTTGTTCCCTCGTCCGAACTATCCAATGCCAAAGTGCGCAAGACGCTGTCAGATTCCCTTTCAGCTCCAGGCTGAGGGGTTTCCGACCTTGTTCATACCACGTCGCTGTACGAGCAAACGGGTCTGAGAACAGGCCCAACAGGAGTGTCGTGAGACAGCTCTTTTGTTGGGATAGTTGGTGTTTTGTTAGTTCCAGTTGAGGTTAACGATGACGTACTTTGGGTATCAAGATTTGGGGCAGGACCTGCTGAGGTGGATCTGCCCAAACGGAGATTGTAGTGTGTAGACATTGGTATGATATCGAGTGGTATGTCTGGTGGGCCTTAACCGTAGATGCCGACTTGAGATGATTGAGAATAAGAAATGAAAACTAGTAAAGACTTTGGTTCGTCAAAAAAGATGTGACATCTACTATTTAGTGTGTGAAGGCTCGAAGTAGGCGGCACAAGTAGAAGAGCGTTATCGACTGATAGATGGTGTTAAAGTCTGGTATTCTGGGTACAATAAACACTGCCCTAATTCTATGACAGTAGCCCGTATTTAAACTATAGTAAATGAGAGGTAGGGTTAAGGGTTCGGAGAAGATAGGAAGCAGACACGGAGAAGTAATGAGCGCAGGCATATGATAAAGGTAAGATAGGACATATTGGATTCTAGTAATAAAAGATAGGTAAGAAGTAGGGACAGTATAAATGAGAATCAGGGGAATGGTTGACAGTATTAGGACTCTGAAACAGCAACTGTCACTTAGCGTATATGACAGCACCCGTTACATAGTGCAGTACTAATTTTCCTACAATACAAGAATGTGTATGCGAAGGAGTGATTGCGTGTGCGTCTCATTTGTGTGCCATGTGGCATCTGTGCGTGTGTGAGTTTTGCATGTGAAGAATAGTTGAACAGATCCAGCGCCATAGCACTCCAAGTCCCTTGATCCTCCGAGTCAAGATTATCCACTACCAACTACTGAAAAATCATGGTTCTTGTAAGTCTCCACATCTTAAAATCTTCCGTGCACGAGGCTGACAAGTACAACAGGGTTTAATTCGACACATATGTAATTACTATTATCCTGCTAATGACTCGGATCTGCCCTCAACATACACCCGCACACATGCATCAAGTGAAGACCCACCACAGAAGAAGGCACCTCAGGCTGTTGCCCACGCTCAGTCCAATATTGAACAGGCGAAAGATGCTGATTTATCGGAGCTCTGGGATGGTTGGCCTGATGGAAGTTATAGCTGTCTGTTTTCTTGGGAGGAAGCTTATCAGACAGTTTTCTTGATGGAACACTGGGCCAACAGCAACCGAGAAGGGGATAAGGAACAAAGTGACGGCGACAATGTAGCTGCTAGCTCCAATGAGCCCCTCATTTCTGATAGCCGATGCGTGCCACGACCTCGAAATCGACAGCGAGCAAAATCCGACGGGGAGCCTAGAAAGCGAAGAAAGGTGGCACTGACTGCCTCTTGAGATGATGGCCACAACTGCGCAGTCACTCGTGATCAAAAAAAGTAAAATGAATTATGAGGGAATCAGAACTAGCTACACAAATGGTTTAACGACGTTGAAGAGGACAACATCAATTGTTGAACCAAGACTTGCAGAAGCAGTGCTAAGAGCGCGTGAATCTTGGTATAACTTGAGCACAGCGTGGATGCATAAGGACCTAGTGCATGCTTGACTCCATGGGTGGTTTGGAATAGACAGAGGTCCAGTAGCTGACAGCAGGCGTAGTGAGTATTTGAATGCGCACTCATTAATGTTTTGTGAGCAGCGCAGCAGTGGTTCGTGGCAGTTGCCGCAGCAGTCGCAGCAGTGGCGCAGCATTTTACCTGTGCCCCTAAAATATCTTACCTGTGATAAATTGAGATTCCGCAGAGGCAATGTAAGAGACCAGTCCCGCAATGTCGTCTGTATTCCCCAAATACCCGACACGTGTCTTCTTCTTAGCCTGGAGAGATGTTTGAACGAAGCCATGAGAACAGTGCTACTGTCTTACATTTTCGTTGTAGACATCAGGAGATATTCCTTTCAGTGCCTCATCCATGTCGTTGAATGTGATCCATGTATGACGCTCAGCCTACAGTTAATATCTACCGCCTATGCATATCCATTTTGCTGACATGCCACAGGAACTAGGAAGTCGTTCATTGGCGCGCTGCTTGCGAAGGCTATCCACGATCACACCAAACTAGTGCTGCCGTGGTCCAGTCCCGAACCGTGGTTCAAACCTGACCATTGGTCAGGTTCGTCCTTGGTTCGGTCCATGGTCCAGCATTTTGCACGGACCGAACCGGAACGAGGTTCATGGTCCGCTAACTCCTGTGCGGTTCATCTATAGGTTCGGACCTTCCCGAACCATTCCGAACCCGGAACCGAATCTTCCTTGCAACGCCTTCAAGGCTCAAGCACATGCTTATGGTCATTTTGACTTCTCAATCCTCAAGATTCGCCATGGTCACTTTGACCTTTGGCATTCTCAAGACTTTTTTCGACTTATCCTGTTCGGAGGTTCGCATCCCGCACACCCTGCTGTCCGATAAAGCCTACCTGTCCAATCAAGCTCGAGGTACGACTTTTCCATCAAATCAAGCGCAATAAACTGATTGATCTGATATATTGATATATTTTTTTAGGATCTGTCAATGCATACTACGAGTTAGTAGGAGATTGGGTATTCACATATAAAGGGAGCAAGGTGAGTGATATATTTCGACTACCGGTACAATGTCTGAACCTGAAGCACAGTGTGCCCTCAACCCAGACGGGTCTCTAAAGGATGCCAAAGACATCGTTTTTTACAACGATCCTGATGATGCCGTCCCCATTTCCACTCCATCCTCTGCCCAACCCCCCACAGACGCCTTCTCTGTGCTACTGCAGACTGGATGCAAACCAGTGCCACTTACTGCAGGTGCTCGACGCTCCATTCGCACCTCTAAACCTTCTGCGCGCCTTCGTGATTCCGACAATGCTTGTTCTTCAACAAGCCGCAAGCGCACATTATCTAGTGCAACCGAGCAACTAGTTAGGAAGAAGGTTGTGTTACAGCTCTCCGCTCCATTATCAGACGATGAAGACTCTCATGCAGCTGGTGCTGACACGGATATTGATACTGACCACGGTGCTGGTCAATCAGATGAGGCCAAGGACGACGATGTACCAGCACCTGAGGACGAACCTGAGGACGAACCCGAAGATCTTCAAGACACCACCATCCGAGCCACTTTATCAAAGAGTGAGCGCACCGCTGATATTCGAACAATCTTCACTCATGATGACAAACATTGGGTCTGCAAACCTTGCAGGGATGCTGGTGAACTTGAAGGCAAGTACACGTTTCGCGGAGGTATCTCTACACTACGCACGCACATTTGTCGGTATGTTCACGTCTTCTTTCTCTTGAATGATCACTAATATTATATATCTATCAGTAATAAAGCCCATTTTCAACTTTACAAGTCACGCTGCGAAGCCGCAAACATCACCATGCACCCTCGAGCGGTTCCAACTGGTGAGGTTCAATCCCTGTGAGTGACATTTGCCGTATTGTAGTGTGTTGTACTGATTCATAGATAGTTCAAGGCAATCCACCCTCGATGGCAGCCTTGCCCCGAAAGCGCCCATGTTTACCAAGGCAGGGCTTCTGGGGTATATCATGGAGCTGATTGTGACCGAGGACGAGGCGTTGCAGCTCATCGACAAACCAGCCTTCCGCAACTTGCTTCATTATGTCCGCCCCGCCCTTGCTGAAAGTGACGTGCCACACCGCACAAAACTTATGGAGACTGTTAAGGCCCGCGCAGTGCAGGTGGTCAACGTCATTCGTGAGCGTCTCGCAAAGGTAGACAGTCAAGTCTCGATGACTTTCGATTCATGGACGTCAATCATCGGCGACCCTTTCTTCTCCATCACAGGCCACTATATCTGGAGCCCGGATGACAAACCCCAGCAATGGGAGTTACGCTGCGAGCAACTCAGTTTTGCGCACATCCAGGGCAATCATAGTGGTCAGAATACGGCTCGCTTGATTGTTGATACCATTGACAAATATGAACTACGAAATAAGGTAAAGTTTAGTCTACTACTTCGCTGCACTGAATCTAATCAGTGTGTTGTAGGTTGGATGGATGACCTCTGACAATGCCACCAATAATGATACCGCCATGAAAGCAGTTGGACAAGAAATCGATCCTGAGGGTACGCGGTGGGCACCTGATGCGCGCCGCATCAGGTGCCAAGAACATATACTTAATCTCGCAGCACACCACTTCATTGACGCTGTCGCCCCCACACCTCAAGCTGCTCTCATGAAGAAAATTCGACAAGCGCTTGATAATGGCAACGACGCTGACCTTGACACATTAAATAAACAGCTTTCTTCCATGGACATCAGTAATACTAACGACGATGACGACAACACCTTATTTGATACCGGTGATTCACTTGGCAAAGCTCTTGCCCTCATCGAGCAGGTACGTGCTATATTTATTAAACTATTCTTTTGCTGATCGAGATCCTCAGATCCGAAAGTCCCCTCAAGCTCGAGCGTTTTTCCGCAAGGCTTGCAAAGAGGAAAACGTACCTGAACTTGAGCTCTTGCAATGGATCCGGACTCGCTGGGCGTCGCTATATAAATGCCTGGACCGCATGTTGATCTTGCGTCAAGTGAGTTTTTTTTTCTTTCAATGTTTAAAAGTGGCCTGATTTTAATTAAATAGGCCGTAAACCGTTTCACCAACCTTGCCGACGAAAGCAACGAAGTGCCAACTCTTCGCAACAAGACTTACGACAACTTCAAGCTCGATCGAAGTGATTGGAGACACCTCGGGCTTATTCACCGAGTCCTCAAGGAACCAGCCACGGCTCAGCAATCGTTCTCGTCAGCAAAACATCCGACCGCATGGAAAACGATCCCTACGCTAGAGTGCCTCACTGTTCGATGGAGATCCATGGCAGATGACCCGCAATATCTTCCGATCGCTGATGCGATTGAGGCCGGACTCAAGAATGTCAACAAATACTTCAAGAAAACAAGTCAATCGGACGTGTATTTTATTTGTCTTGGTGAGTACTATCAATTTTAAAACTCGTTCTTATCTAATATAATTTAAGTTCTTGATCCAAACTATAAGCTCGCATACATTGAAGGCCGGTGGGATTTCGAAGATGTTGCAGATGGCAGAGCTCGTCTGGAGGCCGTGGTGAGTACTTGTCTATGTTGTTTTCCCCCCTCTCATCTTATTTTTTTTTGTAGTTTGATGACTATTATACACCGCCGAGTCGAACACCTACTACCAAAGAGCAATCTGCTCCGCCGACGAGAGCTGCCAGTGTACGCAAGAACTATGGCAACGATTGGATGCGCGAGGCTATTAGGACGCGCAAGACATCAGACCACCTTACTCACAATCCTCGTCAAGAGCTCAACATGTACTTGTCTTCGCCACTAGAGGAGACTGATGACATTGTGGCCTGGTGGGGGGTAAGTTTTCTTTTTGACTTGTTTTTTCGCTACTAGCTAAATCTACTTAATAGCTTCACTCGCTGCAATACCCTACACTCGCGCGCATCGCGCGAGACTATCTACCCATTCAAGGCAGCGCCGTTCCTTCCGAACAAGCATTCTCAAGCGGAGGAATCACTTCGACTATCCGACGCAATGCACTCGCGACTGACACGTTCACTGCACTACAACTACTGAAGGGAGCATATAGGAATGGGCACCTTTCTGCAGAAGTAGAGGCTGAGGGACATGCGGCTTCATTGGACATGTAACTACGAGTACAAATATCTTGCCTATGTTTTTTTTTCCTGGCTGTAATTTTTTCGCGTTCGGTTCGCGTTCAGACCGAGAAAAAACCGAACCTGACCGCTGCGAACCGTTCGCAAAGGTTCGGTCTAAGGTTCATTGAAATACCTAGAACCGAACCTTGGTCCGGTTCTTGGTTCTCGTCCAACCACCTCTGAACCGAACGGAACCGGACCACGGCAGCACTACACCGAACAGAAAATCCTTGTAGTCTGCTACACGAACCACGCCCTGGATCAATTCCTAGAAGATCTCATGAAGATCGGTATCCCTGACACTCACATTGCCCGTCTCGGCGGCAGAGCAAACGCGCAGGTCGCCCATCTTGGCGTTTCGGGGAAGAAAGAGCGTGTCACCCGATCGAAAGCTGATTGGACTATCATCGACAACCTGAAGAATTCATCGGGACTTCACTGCGACTCTCTAGAGGACGCCATGGACAGGTTCATAGCCTCCAAGATTGACTTCAAGGACGTCCTCATGTACATCGAGTTCGAGGAACCGAACTTCTTTGATGCATTAAGAACTACAACGAATGTCAAGATCAACTGACACGCAAATTCGGAGAAGGGATGGTCGCAACCCTCATGGGGAAGAGAATCATTGGATGCACAACGACTGGAGCAGCCAAGTTCGCACAAGACATTCGTGGGGCGAAACCTGATGTCCTTCTCGTAGAGGAGGCTGGTGAGATTCTCGAAAGTCACGTCCTCACTGCGATGGGTGAGAGTACCAGTCAGATGATTCTCATTGGCGATCACAAGTACGTGAGCCAATGGTCATCTTCGGGATATCCTGCTGATGTTGGTTCTTCACAGGCAGCTGCGTCCCAAAGTCAACAACTACAAGCTGACTGTTGAAAAGGGCGATGGATTTGAACTCAACAGATCACTGTTCGAGCGCCTGGTTCTCAGAGGCTTCCCTCATGAAACTCTGACAGCCCAACACCGTATGCGTCCGGAAATTTCAGCGTTCATCAGGAAGCTCACGTACCCCGACCTCACCGATGCTGCCAAGACCCAGGGCCGTGATGACATTCGCGGGATCCAGAACAACTTCGTCTTCGTCGACCACACTCATCCCGAGGATAATGACCCTCGTATTGCCGACCGAGGCGACGGGGCCTCGTCATCGTCGAAACAAAACACCTATGAAGTCGAAATGGTTTGGAAGATCGTACGCTATCTCGCCCAGCAAGGCTATGGGACGGACAAGCTGGTCGTTCTCACACCGTATCTTGGGCAGCTCTCAAAGCTTCGAGATGTTCTGAAGAGGGACAATGACCCTGTGCTCAATGACCTCGACTCGCACGATCTCATCCGCGCCGGACTTATGTCCGCAGCTGACAATACGTCCAAGAGGCGCATCAAGCTTGCCACCATAGGTATGTTTCTGCCACTCGAGTTATAGCTAGGATCTAACGTTGTTTGAGCAGACAACTATCAGGGCGAAGAGAGTGATATTGTCATCGCTAGTCTGACAAGGTCTAATGAGTCCAACGACATCGGTTTCATGAACTCCCCTGAACGTCTGAACGTGCTGATCTCCCGGGCTCGAAATGGATTCATCCTGATCGGGAACTCGCAGACCTTTGTGAATGCTCGGAGGGGTAAAGAGCTCTGGGGGAAATTCTTCGAGCTCGTCAAACAAGGCGGCTACCTGTACGAAGGCTTCCCGATCAAATGCGAACGGCACCCATACCAAAAGGTCCTCATCAAATCTGCGTCTGAATTTGAACTGTTTGTCCCGATGGTGGACGCACAGAGATATGGTGAGAAATTCAAAATCAGTCAATGTCATTCCTACTCACACTGTCTCTAGCGACATGATGTTGAGCTGCGGCATCCATCCTTGCCCGCTAAAATGCCATCAGATCTCGGACCATTCGTAAATGCCTTGTCAACACCCGTATTCCGGCATGTGTGATGCCGATCGCCACAAGCTGAAGTGGAAATGTTTTCAGTCGAAGCCAGATCCTTGTCCTGACTGTACCAAAGAAGCCAAACGTGCAGAGGAGAAGCGAAAACGCGAACTCGAGCTGACGCAGAAACTAGCGGAGGAGGAACTGCAGCGTCTGATACAACGTGAACAGGAGCAGTTGGAGCACGACTTACGCATGGCTGAGCTGGATGCCAAGTTCAAGGCGGAAATGGATGCGATAGCTGACGCCCAGGTTGCACAGCAGCGAGCCAATGTCTACCAACAGAAAATCAAGGATATCGAGGCAGCTAGAGCCAACACGCAGAAGCTGTAAATGCACAGGCACACGCCAATGCTGCCCATTCTGCCTCGTCATCCAGCCAGGACCAGGACACACCCTGCACCTTCCGCACCTTCCGCACCTTCCGCACCTTCCGCACCTCCATCCAATCCGCAGTCAAACGTTCCTCCGTCAAATCCTACTCCTCCGTCGTCATCGCCGAGTCCGCAGCCAAGCACAAAATCTTCGACTTCACAGACGAATTCCCAGCAATCGAAGTCTCAACAAAGTGGACCTTCCTCGATGTCATCGAACAATGCAGCACCCACGTCGCCTGCCCACCAGGATTGGTTGTACCAGAAGCAAGTCAATGGCAAAAAAAATAGCGCCATCGACGGTATCATGGAGTTGACAGGGCTTGAGGAAGTGAAAGCACAAGTACTCCGTATCAAGGCCCATATTGACTTGATGAAACGACAAGGCGTCCCCGTGAACAAGGAGCGCCTCAATCTTGTTTTGCTCGGTAATCCAGGAACTGGTGAGTACTCTTCGATGTTTTAGCGTCCAGATCGCTCACATTCCTCCAGGAAAAACCACAGTCGCAAGGTTGTATGCGCAATTTCTCGAATCAGTTCAAGTTCTCCCAGGCGATGCCTTCCTTGAAACGACGGGTGCAAGCTTGGCACATGACGGGGTAGCTGGAGCCAAAAAGCTCATCGCAGATGCCATGATGGTGGGAGGAGGCGCTATCTTCATTGACGAAGCATACCAACTTGTTAGCGAACACCAGCACACAGGAGGTCAGGTGCTGGACTTTCTTCTCGCCGAGATGGAGAACCAAGTGGGTACTCTGGTCTTCATTCTCGCGGGATACAGCAAGCAGATGGAGAAGTTCTTTGAACACAACCCTGGCCTTCCGAGTCGTGTTCCGTACTCCCTCAAGTTCGCAGACTATACTGACGCGGAGCTTCTGACGATGCTGGAAGTGCTCGTGGAGAAACGATATTCAGGCCAGATGAAGGTGGAAGACGGCATCAGGGGCTTATATGCTCGAATTGCAGTGCGTCGACTTGGACGCGGTCGCGGTCGTGAGGGCTTCGGAAATGCTCGGGCATTACAGAACATGTTT